CCCCCTCTTGGGGCCTCCTGCACTGTACCTCCTTTCACATGGTCTTTTGCTTGACACACCGTACTGTGCCCCCCACACTCTGCCTTGCTCTCCCCTGGAGCGACCCCTCTGGCCATCAGGCTTATCCGAATCACTCCTTGGCTGGCAACATGCAGTCTCTTGAGCCTCTCCCGCAACCCTCACCTGGGGTAATGCCAACCAATTCACCAAACAGAGGGCCAAATTTGCCTTAGCCCCTCACCGGACTTCTTATACACAACACCATGATCTTGTGGGGGTTGGCCCGTGTGCTGCCCTTCTGGCCATCCTTCAGCCCTACTCGGCATACCCCCCGGGGCTGCTCTTCAGACCATCCCTTCAGCCCTACTCAACCCTGAATTGCGCCCAGTCTTTCAGGTCATGAAGATGCACCGTACTTTGGGCGGGCCCACCTACAACCCTGCTCTCTCAGGGTCTCTCAGCTGCCCTCTCTAGGGCTCCACACAACTGCCCCCTCCTCAGGGCCTCCGGGGTCTTGCACCCCTGTGGGCTCAGGTGGCCACAGCCATGCCTGGCGGGGGGGGGGAGGGTAGGGCATGGGGGGCACCAAGCAGCCCCTTGCAGGCTGGAACTCTGATAGCCTGCAAGAGATAAGCCACAGTTTCTCATGTTTTTCTCCTTTAAAGGAGAATCCATTTTTAAAGTTTGTTCGCAACCCTTTCATATAGTCTTGCAATCCGCTTTCGGGTCGCAACCCATGGGTTGAGAAATGCTAATCTAGGTCCCAAGAGACAGCAATGGTTGGTGAAATTGTACACCAAAACCGTGGAATCTAGATGCATACCAAAACCGTGACAGGAGGCAATGGTCACTGCAGTACTCAAACTGGTTAAGCTGATTGATGACCCAGGTGTCTACAGCCCAATATCACTCTTGTATGACCTACGGACTCTTGGAATGTATGATCCTCAGGAGAATCAGCCCTTTTATCAAGCCAGTGATCCCCAGTGAACAAGTGGGATTCCAATCTCAGCGAAATTGCTATGACCAAATTTTGGCCTTTGCAATGCATATTGAAGCTGATTTTCAGAAAAAAATCTAAGACCGGTGTAGCCTTTGTAGACCTGTCATCAGCTTATGATGTAAAAAAATGCCTATGACATGTAAAAAAAATCAGCCTATGACATGTAAAAAAATGTGTGATGCTGAAGCTTGAAAAGATTATACCCTGCCACCAAATGCTACACCTGATATTGACAATGCTAAGTAATAGGTGGCTACACGTCCACCTGAATGACTGAGTCAGCTCACCCTGGTTTTTCAGCAGTGGACTACCACAAGGCTCAGTACTCGCATCAATACTCTTTAATGGATACACAAGTGATATGCCATCAACAGAGTTGCTCAAATTTGTATATGCACCTGACCTTGCTTTGGCAACACAAGTAGCACTTGTGCATTGTGCATTGTTGTGCACAATGACATCGAGTGCACTTTGACTGAGGACCCGAACATTATGGAGGAATATTTTTGGAAATGGAGATTCAAGCCAAATCCCTACAAAACAACAGTAACTGCATTCTATCTTGGTAACAAGAATGCTAAACATACCCTGAAGATAACTTTCTGTGGCAACACTGTGCAGCACAACCCTACTCTGTCTTATCTTGGAGTGGGCCTGGATTGCATGTTAACCTTCCCTGGCCACCTGAAGAAGGTGGCTGCTGAGATGAAGGTAAGGGTGAATTTGATCCAGAAATTGGCAAGCACAAGCTGGGGAACATCAGTATTATGGACTTCAGTGCTGGCCCTTGCATACTGTGTAGCTGATTACCTTGACGTATGGACCAGAAGCGGTCACATTCGACTTGTTGACATCCATCTAAACTCTGCAGTGTGGTGCATCACTGGAACCTTCAAGTCAACCTCAACACCTTGGCTGCCCTCGCTGTTGCACGTTGCTTCTCTACCCATTTGTCATGAGGCAGCAACTCTACAGGAAGTCCAGCGAATTAAGGAAAACAAATGTATCCCCATCCACCAGGACCTCAGCCATCTCCCTCGCCATTGAATAAGCAGGGCTGGGCAAAATGCAGCCTGCGGGCTGGATGCAGCCTGCCAGGCCATTCTATCTGGCCTGCGGGGCCCCTCAAAAATTTAGAAAATTAATATCTAGCTGCCCCGGCTGCCTGTCGTGGTCCTCGATGGCTTGCCAAAACTCAGTAAGTGGACCTCCGCCCAAAATAATTGCCCGCCCCTGGGTTAGAGTCATGCAAACCCTTCTGGATCCATGCGCTTAACCTTCAACAATGAGACTTCAACCCTGATGATGCTTGGAAAACTGAGTGGCGTTTACAGGAAGTCCAAATAAACATCTTCTGATAGATCCAACGTAAACGGTCCCTGGCTTTGATCTACAACACTCAAGGACAACTCTAAGTTATATCCGCACAAGCCATGGCACATATGGATACTTGATGAACAAATAGAAAATTAAACTCTCCACTGTGTGACTCTGGTCACCCAGAACAAACCATGGAACATATAACAACTCAGTGCCCGATCCGCAAATATGAAGGCGGTATCACAGCAATACACTCTGTTGCTCCTGATGCAATTGTCTGGTTTAACCACCTAAATATGTTAAATTGTAGTTGGTGTTCTGTATCTATATCAGCCATCTGAAAGAAGAAGGCCGAGCAACTGAAATATGAAGACTAACTAACATTTCCCTGTTTTCCTATCCCTCCCGTCTAACCTATGATTTCAAGATTTTTTTCCCCCAGCACTCTTTAGATGTTAAATTTATAAAATCATGCTCTATCATTGTATTTAATGGTGCATAAGTTGTTCCATGGACATATCTGGTCAGGTTTACATTAGATGTAAACCTGAGATATTTTTTCCTGAGATCCGATCCAGATCTCCTGACCGGGTTTCCGCCTAAATTTTTTCTTCTAAATCTGTCTATAACTCATTGAACTTCATCTTCATATTTTGAATGTTGTGATAAATTGTTACCTGAAAAGTACATTGTAAAATTAATGCTGTTAATTTTGTTTGGAGTGAGCATGATACAATATTTATATTAGGTACGTGAATGAAGGTGGTTCAGTTCAGGTGGCAATTTATGGCTACATGGTAATTCCTTCTGAAAAAGTTTGGTACATCAGGAAGATAAGCTAGTGCTCTAATTTGCATTTTATAATTGATAACAGACAAAAAGAGTGGGTAGGGAAGGGTTGGTAGACATCTGTGTTGTTATTAGTTTTGCCAAATGCTAAATATTAGGGCTGTGCGAGGCTTCAGGCAGAGCTTCGGATCTGGAGAAGCTGAGGACGCTTCGGGGTCCGAAGCAGCACATCCGGGTTGAAGCGCTGGCCTCGTTAGGCTTCCCAAAGCAGTTCGGAGCTCCTGAAGAGCTTCAGAGTCACCTCGGAGATCCAGCCATAGGGTATAATGGGGAACAATAAAATATCTATAACTCTGTTATTTTTTGTCTGATTTTGATGGAATTTTCTGGGGTGATAGACTCTGCAGAGAGGATAAAACCTGCCAAATTTAAAAAAGATCGATTTAGGGGTTTGGGGGGAACAGCACCCCAAATTCTTGAAAGCATAACTCATGTCACGTCTAGGCGTTACAACATAGCGGGGTTAAAACTGCAGGGGTGGTAGCCTATGCTGAGACCACAAAGCCTGCCAAGTTTCAAGAAGATTGGTGCAGGGGTTTTGGGGCAACTGCCCCTCAAGCTGCGGACAAGCAAAACTCGTGCCATGGGTGCTGTGGGGCTGACTCTGTCTGTCTTGGGGCAGGGAGGGGAGACGCTGCTGCAGGCCTGGCTGCTAAGTTGCTGCCTTACCAGTTACCAATCAATCAATCATGATTCACTCAGGGACCAGCTCAGTACACAGGCCCTAGCTCCTACATAACGACTTAACGAGCATCAATTAGCACCTACAAAACCAGGCTAAGAGAGGAAAGAATCAATACAATCAACTGACCCAAGACGGACATAGTCTTGGCACCAGTTTTATCTGTCAGCATCTAGGGGTGCAGGGCCCCAGAACCCCCCAGCACCGATCTCGAGAGCTGGCAGGTGTCACAGCAGGGGCCACCATCCCTGCAGCTGTCACCCCGCTGTGCCTTAACACACAGTGTCACCCATGGCACGAGTTTTGCTTGTCTGCAGCTTGAGGTGCAGTTCCCCCCAAACCCCTGCACCGATCTCCTTGAAACTTGGCAGGCTTTGTGGCCTCAGTAAGAGCTACCACCCCTGCAGTTTTGACCCCCCTGTGTTGTAACAAAGGCATGACATAAGATTGGCTTTCAGGAATTTGGGGTACAGTTCCTCCCAAACCCCTGCACTGATCTTCTTGAAACTTGGCAGGTTTCATGCTCTCCACAGAGGCTACCATCTCTGCATGTTTCGTCCAAATCAGACAAAAAACAACTAAGTTCTAGATATTTCATTGATTCCCTCATTATACCCTATGGCCGGATCTCCGAGGTGACTCTGAACCTTCGGAGCCGCTTCAGCTGGATTGAGGCGGAAACCCGGTCAGGAGATCTGGATCGGATCACGGCCATCCGAAGCGGCCGGATCTGAAGCCGGATCGGATCGCTGCCGACTCTCACAGGCCTACTAAATATGTATGTGAAAAGAGTCTGGATATGAGGATAAAAGGAATAGGAAGAGTAGGATAAGCCTAAACTTTGTGTGTCTGAGTGACTTATGGGGATAACAAAGCTGTGTCAGTGTTGATGGAAATGAGAGTACAGATAAATAGTGTATAGTCACGTAGGGAGCAGAAAGCAGAGCAGCAGATAATTTAGGGGACAGGGATTGGAATGGGCACTCAGGGAGGGTGAGTGGCTAATTTGTGGCACACCTGCCAAAAATGTTGACTTGTGTTGGGTTACATCATTTAGGAAATAAGCATGGAGGAAAGAGGAGAGGAGTAAGGACACGCACGTTCCTGGGACATCTTCAGAGGTGGAGAGAAGGGGGAAAGAAAGCGCTAAAGGAACAGGCACATGACAGTAAGGGAAGATGGTGATGCAGGAGCCCTTGGAAGAGAATATAGAAGTGTCAAAAGGCATTATTGGAATAACTTTTAATTGGCTCAGATAAAAGGGCATTTATAGTGGCACTGGGGAAGAGGTAATTAAGGTACCAGGAATGACTCACTTTGTTCAGTGAGAATGAAATTTGTTAAAATGCATAGGAAAATACATGCATAGGAAAATACTTGGCTTTACACCACTTTAACAAGTTGTACTTCACAGGTTTTTTAATGAAGTTGTCTTATTTATCTCAGGGGGAAAGAAACAATGGCTTTGATGTCCTCTATCACAACATGAAGCATGGACATACATCAACAAAAGAGCTAGCAGATTTTATAAGAGAAAGGTAAGTGTTTATCTTTGTTAGTCCTGAATCTTAGCGCACACATGCATTTGTTTTTGAAAGTTCAGATTGTGCATTGTAGGTATGTAATTTTTTTTTCTGCAGTTCATAAGCATTACTATTTTTTTTTTTTTTTACTCTTTCAAGGATATCTAGAGTTCCAGTATTCCCTTGAAAATAAACAGTGCCTTGAGCATTAAGTATTTAGATGATTTATTTTTTCAAAGTTTGAATTGGCTGATACAATTTTACTTCAGTGAGCTAAAAAGACCAAAATTAATAAATATTTGGCAACTGAAGTTTACCCTATTTTTCACTTTGTTCATAGAAGAGTAGGCATTTCTTTTCTTAGACAGTAGAAATAGTGCTGCTTCTAGAAAAATTATGATGACCGTTGCCTACAACAAGTTTATCAAATTCCTTTAGCTCCTGGGCCAGATCAGGGCTGCAAGGATCCTTGTAGGCCAAATCTGGGTCACAGGGATCCTTGCAGACCACATCTGGATATATCCCTGGAGGTGAGGCAAGCAGAGGTATTGACTGTTGCAAGGATTAATGCACACATTGCTTGCCCCTCTTCTCCCAACATGTATCTCCACTGGGATTCTGTAAGCTGGAATTTGGCAGTGGCATCACCACTGTCATCCTGCTCCCTCCAGGAGCCCCATGGGCCAGGTGCATATCCAAAAGATAGGTTATAGCAGGAAGTACTCTGAAAGCCTGTAGGACCTAAGGGAGGATTACTGGTCTAATGTCAACTGACATTAGGGTTAAGATTAAAGATGTGTCATCTGAGGAGTATGTCTTCTGTTAATTCAGTTCAGATTGCAGTTTGTAACTATGTATGTGTATACCTTGTCCTGAATATGTATGATTTTATCTGAAGAATTCTGGGAAAATACTTAAGTCTTCTTAAAATCCTATCAAACTCTGGAGAGAAAACATATTTTAAAGTGGGGCTTACAAAGTGTTGGTCAAATGACTGAATGACATGGTGGAAGACGCATTTTTACATTGGCTAGTTACTAACAGATTTGACCTTAACCAACTCACTTAATCATTCAGTAGAATATCTATATATAAAATGGATATAATAAAATAGGGCTGTTCTTAATCATTAATGCGCTGTGGTCATACTTTTGGCTGTTATCCACTCTTCAATTAGTAGTTTTTTAATCTTCTTTGTAACATATTAAAATGAAAAGTTCTGCAGTGTTTTTCAAAGCCCAGTTACTGGGCTCAGTTACAAACAGTCTGTGCAACTGTGCTTGTTGTGTTCATAGCTGTATATATGATAGAATCTTGCTGATATTTCACTGATGCCACTTTTACAAACTCAAATAAATTTGTAATTGATATTTTAAATAAATGTAAAATATGTAGCAAATTGGTTCGTCATTCATTTTTCAGGTGAGAATTAGGCAATTATTTTGACAAAAAAAAGTATACTGTTTCTCTTCCGTTCTTAATTCTCTTGACAAAATTATCTGTTTATCTTGTATTTTCCCTGAGGTATGTATCAATTAATTGTGCAGTAAAGGCATTTTATCCTTTTGACCTCAGTTCAATAAAGGCTTATACATTTGTTTAACTTCAAACACTTTGAATAGTCCTATAGACTTTATGATCATATCTAGGGACCTACCAAATTCACGGTGGAAGTGAGCTGTGGGATAGCTCTTTTAATCTTTCAGGTTCCCCTGTGTGCCTCCTCTGCCAGTTGTTGGAGGGGCTCCTCCATTTCTCCCTTTATTCGCTGGGATTCGAAAACTGCAGCTTTAAACATGGCACCGTTTTTGCCTCCCGGCAGGTCAACAACAATTAACAGAGCCATCGGAACCCCTCAGCCAATTAGGAATGGGGGGTGGGGTATGTGGGGGAACCTGTAAGATTAAAGGAGCTGCCGTGCAGTCCAGTTCTGCCATGAATTCGGTAGGTCCCTATATTATATCATAATGGGGTTACTTATGTGTTGAAATTTAAATTGAAGCAAAATTTTAAATTTAACAAAAGGGCAAACTGAATTTCCTTGACTGAGTCTGTTTAGAATATACATTTACCTATCCTAATAACTTTATTGATTGTGAACTGGTTGCTGAACATTAGAAACTCTTTGAGCATGTTTGTTTTTAACAGGTCTACAATAGAGGAGACTTATTCAAGGTCAATGACAAAACTAGCCAAATCAGCAAGCAATTATACACAACTTGGGTAAGTTAATATATGTATAAAAGCAGAATTATGAATATCTTGACTTCATATAGATTAAATTTCAGCCTAACGCTTTCATTAATGGAGTTGAAGTTCCAGTGAAAGCCAATGACTCCAGCTACCTTTTAAAATGTAGTCTATTGCAATAGGGGTATAGGTTGTAGCCATGTTGGTCTAAGGACATAGGTGGACAAGGTTCTTTGGGTAAATGCGTTATCTTTTATTGGACCAACTAAAATAGTTGGGAAAATTCTTCTTTGCAAGCTTTTGGGCACAAACACCATTCTTTAGGCTAAGGGAGTATCTGCAGTAGTTCTCTGTTCTTCCTGGATGGAATAGAATAGAAGCCAGAGACCAGTATGCAAGCATGCGCTGAAGTGAAAAAGCAAATTGAGGCAGTCATTGGGTAAGAAACAGGTTGGGGAAAGGAAGGGAATTGTATACCTGGTGATAAGATATAGTTGGTAAATAGTAGAGAGGTTACCTGGGGTATCAGATGTTAGGCAGATTATAAAGTGCCATAAATCAAACGTCTATATTTAGTCCATGATTTTCCGTGTCCAGGAGGTTGATGAAGTGAAGTTTGTAGGCTCGTCTGCAAAAGGTGTTTTGTAAATTCCCTTTTGAGGATTAGTACTGAAAGATTGGAGAGAGTGGTTTTCTTGTGAGAAATATGCCCCCACTGGTAATAGGGTATTCTTGTCCATGTTATATTTTCGGTGTGAGTTCCTTATGGTGCGCAATTGTTGTTTGGTTTCTCCTACATATTTTCCATCATGGCATTTAGTGGATGAGATAATATTACATTTCTGGAGGTGCAAGTGTAAGATCCAGGAATGTTGATGGCTCTGTTGTGGGGTGTAGTTATTGTCGGGGTGGTGGAGATGTGTTTTACATTTCTTGTCATGGGATGGTCTGGATCCATTCAGTGTGTTTTAGGCCATAGGAAGTTTGCTTCTGGTGATGGGGTTGGCGAGGTTCAGTGCTTGTTTAAAGGCTAGGATGAGTGGCTCCGGGGAGAGCTCTTTAAGAATTGGGTCTTCTTTTAGTATGGGTTGCAATTGTTTGAGGATTTTTCATATGGGTTCCAGGGAAGAATGGTATGTCATAACTAGTGGTGTGTGATTCATGGGGGTTTTCTTTCTGTAGTGCAGCAATTCTTCACATGGTATCCACGTGACTCTTTCAAAAGTGCTGTCTATCTCTCTAAAGGAGTGTCCTTGTTGAGTGAAAGCCCTTTTGAGATTTTTGTGGTGATGATGATGGGTGTTCTCTTCAGTGCAAATTTGTGGTACTGGAGGGCTTAGCTGTGTATTATGGCTTTCTTGGTGTGTTTAAGGTAATTGCTGGTTATCTGCAGATATGTATGTTTGTCTGTGGGTGTTTTTTATATGGTGGTCTGTACTTTACCATCACTATCCAGAATGGTAAAATACAGACCACCACAATCTATCAAAGATAAGAATACCCAATTGCCTGTGGGGGCACATTTCTCACAAGAAAACCACTATTAGTATTCATTTTTAAATTTAAATCTTAGCACCTCTTCTTTAGCCTGGCTGACCCTAGAAGACAATAAAACTCTTCAACCTTTCCATGCTGTTAAAATTCATTGAAATGTTATGCTTAGGGTAAGAAATTAGGTCATACTTATTATCTGAGAATAATTATGTACCTAATTCCTGTGTGGTAAAGGAGTGAGTGGGTCAACCATTCTGATAAATCTTAGGTGTAGGGATGATGTGAAGTGGGGAAAGTAGCTCAGCCACCCACTATTTATCTTTTTCCAGCTAATATGCCTGCAACTATTTGCTTGGTTGTAATGAGTTAGTTATGTGAGGGGAAAACTGGACACATATCAAGAGCTTTCAGTGGTGAATAATTTGATCTCAACAGCTACTGCTCTTTATAGGATCTGTGACTGCATTCATACCTGAAAGGCTCTCCACACCATTGTTTTCCTAGCAGTACTGCCAGGGGAACTGAAGACAGGAACCAAATGAGGGGTCCCGTAACATACGAAGGGGGCTCAAGCTGGGAGATTGGTCTATGTTTTCTTCTGTTTTCACATAAAACAGGACTCTTTAATGCAATACTCTTTAAGATCATTTAAAGTTAAGGCCATATTCACAAGTAGGCGTTTGACTTTTTATGCTGATCTGGCGTATCTTTGATTTTGTTTAAAAAAAAATTATATCATATTAAGGCACCCTAGGTTTCCTTGAGATCCTTTCAAGGGTGCTGTGGAGTGCCAGATTGTGCTAGCACTGTTAGGTTTATAAATGTATTTCACAAGATTAACCTAGAGATATCAAATAGAAATCCATACTTATGATCTTTGAGTTCTTTGAAACAGAAGAACTGCTCTATTATTTTTCTGTAGGCAAAAACAGAATGAAACTAAGAGCTGGCAATTTCCAAGGGGTGCCTTGAGGCTAAAAGGGTTGAGAACTACTATCTTAAGGATTATTACATGGTATTCTTTTGAGGCATCACATCTAGTTTTTATGCATGATCTTTTTAGTGCAATATTTTAACAAAAAAATTCCAAGACCCCTTTCCGAAAAAGAAAGAACAAAAGAACCCCCTATCCTACTTAAAAGACAAAACCTTAAAGTTAATCATGAGCATGTCCATCAGTAAAATATGGGTAAAAACATTAGACATGCAGTAAGTATTCCAGGACAGGGGTCCATGGACTGAATCTGGTTCTTGGAGCTATTGGATCCAGCCTGGAGCCAGGAGGCTTTGTTTATGCTATGCCATGGCCAGGCAGCAGAGCGAAGTGGCAGTAGCAGCAGTCAGGTTCTGGTGCCAGCTCACCTTAGACTCAAAATGGGTCATTTTAGTCTGCCATCGGAAAAATGTTGCTGATGACTGCCTTAAAATGAAACATTACAAACCCAAGAATTAAGACTGCACTTAAGAGACCCAGATGTGCTGAGGTACAGAAATGTGTACTCTTAAGCAAACAGCTTTGTGTATTGTCCCCTGTACTTATAGGGAAGGGATAGAGTGGAATACAAAACAATGTCTCTCTCATTCTTAAATTGACTTAACCTGAAGCTATAAGCACACACATGCATTGAACTCCATTTTAATGTAGATTTGTCTCTTGAAATACATAGAAGAAAATTCCTTCCTTTCATCTGTATCATGTTGCGAAGTATTGTGTTATGGTAGATGACCATTTTTGACTGTATAACCTTCTTAACTAAAATTTCTAGACCACATAGTGCTAAGCACTATACAAAGTTGATTCTAAACAATAGGACAAACCACAAAGATAGCATACTGTCAAAAAATAAAGAATGTGTATTTGCACTGTTCATTAGGCCTGTGCGAATAGGGAAGTATTCAATTCGAATTCGGCCGGTTCGGAGGATAGTGATTCGATTCTGCAATTCGAATGACTGTCCCCATTCGATTTGAATTGGCCAGGGAGAGGCAGGCACAGTCCGGTGGCTACAGGTTCTCCCATGGCTCCTGCAGCCATACCTGGGGCTGAGCGGAGCCAGGCTCTGGCTTACTGTTGGAGCCGCCCCAGCTCCCAAACAGTGTGCAACGCCCTACCATGCTGCACCTGCACCATGGGGCAGCTGCTGCACGGGTGCTAGCTGGGGAGGGGTGATCCCTGCTGCCCCCCTGCTGCCCTGCCTTGCATGGGGGGGGCTCTGCCACGAGCCCTCTGAGGCCCTGATCACCGCTGCCAGAGCCAGTGAGTGCAGGGTTTTTTTCTTTTTTCTTTTTTTTTTTTTTTTTAAGTGCTGGGAGGCTCGGCCGGGTGGGAGATGGGGCCAGGCAAGGCAGCCATGGGGGCTTCTCCTCCGGCTCCTCTGGCTGTACCTGCCTCTACCTGGTTGAGGGGAGCCACAGGGGCTCTGCCCTGCCACTGCTTGCCAGCTGACGTGGCAGGAGGGGGCAGGATGCGGGCGCAACAGCACTGGGAACAGGGGCTATACCATGCTGCCACTTGCCCCCTTCCGCCTACAGCAAGCCATGCCCACATCCTGCCTCCCTACCCTGGCTAGGCAAGCAGCAGTCATGCAGAGCCCCCACTTCGAGCGCTGCCATGCCCACATCCTGCAGCCCCAGCCCCAATCCTTCCCTCCCCCATGCCCCTTCTCTTTCCCCTCCCTCAACCCCAACAGACTTACCCACTGGAGGCAGCTGTGGCCAGATCTTCTCCAAAGCTTTTACAAATCAATTCAGATGGTTGAATAGATTTGGAGCTTTTAATTGGTCTCCTGATTTGATTCAGATTCAGAAATTTAGTCCCCGAATCATGCCGAATCTCCTCCGAATTGAATCAGCTACCTAAGATTCGCACAGCCCTACTGTTCATCCCAAATAGGTTTCATATTTCATAGGCTTCTATTGCAGCTACCCAACAGGAGCAGATTTACTCTGAGTCAGGAATTAAAATGTAAGGGGATAGAAAAACTCTGTAAGCCTCTGAATACCTTCTTCAAGCCCACTCCCTAGCCATGGAAAGAGAAGAATCTCTAAATTAATTTCTTCAGAATGTGATAGACCACTTTATATTGAAACATGTTATTGTCATGTGCGTGCATAGATAGTTGACTCAAGCATTCTGATTCTCCAACTTTATATTGACATTTATCATCCTAATGTAGTGTTTGTACTTATTTCCTTTAATGCCCAAGATTTGTGCTTTTTCCTGTTTATTTGATTTATTTATGCCATGCCTACTTAGATATCATGGTGTAATCACCATTAGAGCCTTAATATAGACCATGTCTCTCTTTTTTTATACATGCCTCTCCCACCCCTCATAGAACAAACATGAAAAACTGGTCAAAAAGGTTATTTTGGAAGATTAAGTCATTGGATATAGGTATTAAATAATTTTAGCCAAATATGATTAAAGAGAGGATTTTTGGTCTTCTTATATAATCAGTTTATTTGAAAAGCTTTAAAATGTTACTATAGGCATAAGTCTAAAAGACCCAGCATGCAATTTCAGTTAAACAGGTAGCTCCTAGAGGTACAAGCAACTGCAAGTTACATTCCATCTTTCAAGTGTGGTTCTGCTCTGAAAGCTGCCAACTTCTTGTCTTTTGTCTGACTTTTTAGAATTCAAGTAGTTTTTTTAATTGCACTGAGATTCATGACATCTGTACAACCCATCAATCCACCTTAGATGGATTTACAAAACTGTACTAACTATACTGCTTGCTAACTTCACATCTTGCACTTAACATGGACAAGATCAAAGATTCCATATGCAACTTTTACAGCGAAGGGAAGTCAAGATTTGCTGGTCAAGAATGTATGTTAGTTATTCTCCTTTAACTGTTACAGTTGTTCAATCCTGTACTGGTGTAAATTGAACTCAACTGTAATTTTGTACTTATTTTGGTCAGGCTGAAATTACAGTGGGTTAACTGCACTTGCACTGCATTTTTAAGCATATCATAAATACCTCATCCCTGTCAAAAAAAAAAAAAAAGAAAGAATTCACTGGTCAGAAAATAAAATAATTTTAGATCGATATTTAAATAATGTTTCTCCTCATTCCCAATCTTTGCTTCTAGGACATTTGCACCAGTTTGGGATGTTTTCAAAACATCAACAGAAAAGTTAGCAAGCTGTCACTTGGAACATGTCCGGAAGTTACAGGAGCTCATAAAAGAAGTGCATAAATATGGAGATGAGCAGATCAAAGCTCATAAAAAGGTTACTCATTTTCCATATGTATTTTCAATCATTTTTTACAATTAAAATATTAAACTGCTTTGTTTTTGGTAAATGTATGATATTTGGCAGACTAAAGAAGAAGTTTCAGGAACATTGGAAGCAGTGCAAAACATTTTGAGTATTACTCAGGCCCTGCAGAAATCCAAGGAAAGCTACAATGCCAAGTGTGTAGAACAAGAACGTTTAAAAAAGGAAGGAGCAACACAGAGGGAAATTGACAAGGTAAAATTCAGTGTTTTGTCAAGTTGTTCAGTATTTTATGATGAAGCATTTTTGGGAAGTTTTCTGCCTTTTAATATGAAACCTATTTTGTCCTTGCTTTGCCTATTGCTAAGTCCTTCATCATTACATGTTTTTTCAAACAATATTGCAGATTAAATCATTGAATTTGTAGCATAACCATGTCATGCACGTTTTTTTTCTGTTTTGTGGCATTTATGGAAATGGGCCATGCTTTTTTCAGCATTTTCTATGTCTTTTTGGGAAATCTAGTGCAGTTAAATATGTAAACCCTCAGTTCCTGTATTTTAAAGAAAATAAGTTTAGGGTATACTTCTGTTCTAGGTAGCTGAATAAACTTTCTAGGTCAGACCCATATATGTCTGCTGTAATTCTCAGGACTTTTTTTATTAAAAGGAATTTCATGAGAACAGTTAAGATTGCTATAGTTCCATTTCTAGATGTGTTGGCTAAAGAGTCAGTAATGGCCTAAAATGTATTCTTATAACTTTTTTTTTCCCGGAGAATATAACTATAGATTGAAAATAGCTTTTTAATTGTGTTCTAGATGGGGGGAAAAACTGACCTAGCCAGCACTGCAGTTTAAACTGAAATGGCTTGAAGAGATACTTAGCTATTCAGTTTCTATTTATGTAATCATTTGGTGACTAGAAACCTTAGATAACTGGAATAAAGAGATGTACTGGTTAACTCCTCCAGCTGCTTAAAATCTGAGTAGAAGATGAAAGTTAGATTACCTTATATTTAAAGACAATGCTAACCAAGGAGAAAAATCTTCCTCTTCTAAGGTCTACCTAGTGTTCACTTCCCCACAAATGCAAAGATTCTGAAGTCCCTTGGAGTCTTTTTTTCTTTTTTCCCAGATAGTTAACATCGACTGCTTTATTCATGCAAAAAAAAGACCTACTTTCTTCACTTTGTTGGGTGTAGACAGTTTTCTCTTAGGTATATTTTTGATAAGGAATTAGTTCATGCTTTTGCATAGAAATCCAGTCTTCACATTTGTCATCCCTAATCAGGGGCAGTGGATTCGGAGTTAATCTGCTGTTTCTGTTTCCTGAAAGTGGCAACTTTTTTCCCTGCTTCAGTTCATATATTTTCATGGAGCCTCTGCCACATCTATTTATATTATGAAAAACTGTTTGAGGTCCTCCTCTTGTAGGACTTTCATTTTATCATTTTCAAAGTAATTTGCTTGCTCACTGACATCTTGTTTTAGTAAACAGAAGAGCAAGGTATCCTATTATCTTAAGTTTTCACTAATTTTGTTTAAGGTTGAATTTTTTTCCCCCAAAGTCTCATCTTTTCACTTAGACAGGAACATTTCCTTCCCTGCCTTTTCCAAAATTAAGAAACTAAGAGAAAAGAACCCAATTGCTCCTTTTGAGTTTATCTGGATACCTGAAACCATTCAAAAGAGCAGACTCAAATTACCTCGTCATCAAAGGCCTGTGGAAAGGCATGGAGATATAGCATAAAAAAATATGTCCTATAGCCAGGAGGCTTAGCAGGTCACAGGGCATGTTCAACCTGGGTTACTGTCTGTCAAGGCCAGATATAAGCAAAGAGAGAGAGTCTGGGTCATTGTCACAAGTTTGTGGTCTCAAGCTGATTATCAAGCAGGAGGCAAGATCAGAAGTCATACTTATGCCCTCAAAGATGGGCAGTATTGATCAGGCTTCTGCTGCTCCTATGCAAGTCTCTGAAATGGCTGAATTGCAACCTGCTTCCTGTGTAACATGGACCAATAGGAACACGTGTCAACCAGGCCACAGGCATGTGGTGATGACTTACTTTTTTTGCAGGTGAGCACATCTAGGTGGTTTGCGCAAATGACATCACCAGTTTTACCTTTGAACACTCAGGGTGATCAGGTGGATGATGGGCTGCGTGAGACTTAGTGATGCTTCTATTAGCTATGTTAGTTGTGTTCTTGTCATTTGGAGTCATTTACTTACTGTTTCAGAGACCTGTTAGCCCAGAATCAACTGTGGACACAGTGATTCTTGAACTTAATAGGAAAAAAAAGTGGCTGGAGTCATAAACATAGGGAAACTCTTCTTATCACAAGATAAACAGTTTATGCTAGAGTTCACAACAGTAGATATTCACTGAAAGTTCATCATGTAGTCAAATATTGAACAGACTGAGGCATCTGAAAAGAAATTCTTCAAAAGTTCTCATTGCTAAATTTCCTTGTTAAGGAACATCCATCTGAAGCTAAAAGCTTAGTAGTAGCTTGTGAAATGATTTCCTGTTGCTTGCTGACATGTTCACATGAAAACTTTAACTTCTGTATTTAAGATAACCCTATAAAAATTGCTTTTATTTATGCTTTCAATTACGTTCTAAAGTTCTAAATGGGGTTCCAGTAATTGTGTGTGTGTGTGTGTGTGTGTGTGCGCGCATGCAAATACACATCCTGTTTGCGGAACAGATATTTGCTAATTATTTACTGATCAGGTATTTAATTCTTCTCCTTGTGTCTTTTTCGCTGAGAAATTGTGCCATAGTTCCTTTTCACACAAGCTGCTGTTTCTGCCCATAGTTACAGCAGTCTCGTGTTGTTGGTATTGTAAATCCTGGGTACAACATTTAGACTCACAAAATGTGGACACTGATTGCATTAACAAATTAATCCAGTTTTTTAATTCAATAACAAATCTTCATTTCAAAGTCCATTAACATAACAATCCTTACTTTATAAGAGTTTGCAAAAGGGACATCATACTTCAACATTCTTAATTTCTTTTAAATGATGTTGTTTAGTGAATATCTTGAGCCTTCAATACAACAAGTATAGAATAGTATGAAAGTCATGGGGCAAGGATATATGTTATATGCATTTCCCTGTGGTGTTTGGAGCAGCAGCAAAAATATTGATGTGGAGCACATGGAGGATAGGTCCATTCGGGGGCTTGTAAATGCATCAGTTGGGGAAATAACCGTATGCTCAGGATATCCCTAAATCTAGGACTGCTTGGAACTGAGAAGATATAATTGAATAGATCATTCTGCACATTCCCTGTTTATGCTACTCTTCTTCTAAAGCAGGGGTCTACAACCTTTTCACAACAGCAGGCCAAATGAATGAAGTTCAGCTGTGGAATTGGCCTTGGACTGAATAAAATCCCACAGACTAGATATACCCCACAAAGATGCTGCATCTGGCTTACAGGTCATAGGTTGTCAGTCCCTTCTCTAGAATAGCCATTACTTGTCACTTTGAGACAAGCTGCCAGATTAAATGCTCTGCTCTTACTACATACAGGTCAGGAGGGTGGAGGGGAAAGAGGAGGGGCTGGAGGGTCACACTGGTGTCCTCTGTAATTCCAGCAAAATAGTGTTCATGAGGTGCACAGTAATATTTGTGAGGTGTACAAGAAGCTACGTGAGGCTTTTTCTGATGTGCCAGACTAGCCACGGCTACGCAGAGTGGCAAAATCAGTGACAGTACCAGTTTCAGTAGGCACTTTGAAAAATCCTTCCCTTAACTTGGACTTGTAGAAATCTGCATCCTAGCAGAGCAAAGAACATAATCATCAATTGGTTTTAAATAATGACATTTTTCAGTACATCATAATGCCAGACAGGACCCTTGTGAACTAGTCTGATTTGTGTAGAACACCATAGGAATACCTTGAATTAATTCCTGTTTGAACTAGAGTATATTTCTTATATATATAAAAAAAAAAAATCCAGTCATGATTTTTTTTAATGATGGACAATGGATGCATTCTCCAAGATTTGAAAGTAAATCACTCTTTTTCTGCACTTTCTACTTTCTTATATTCTATTTTGTGATTGATTCACTTTCCTTTTAAAAACAGTTTTTTATCTCTTGAACTAACTTTTTTTTCTCTCTCTCCAACTTCCCAAGTTTTTGGAAAATGTCATTTGAAACTCCTTAACTTTTATTTGCTCCTACCCTGCTTCTACTTGCAGCTTTTCCTTATTTTTGAACTAAATATTTTTGACTTCTAAAATAAGCTAATCAGTTAACTGCATAGCAATTTTTAAATTTATTTCAACATCAGTATTTTGCAAATTGGTGACACAGGTTCTAACCCTCCCTATGCTCTCTTTCTTCCATACTGCATGTAGAAGCAGGCATTCTACTACTTTTCCTTCTTCCTAGCTCTTCTACCCATCAGATTATTTATTTTTGTATTACAGTTGTGTTATCTGGGAAAACACTGTAAAAACAAAGCTAACATGTACCTGAAATGTGGCACTTCAACTTAAATAAGGGTGATTGCTTTAAGTTACTGTTGTATTGACTAGTGGTACAAGATTTCAGTGGGGAAATAGTGTAATTAATAAACATCTAAATTACCAGTTAGTGTCATTTTAGTAAGACATTTTACTATCTCATGCTTTATGTTATGTAGTAAGTTTTAGTGAAAATCATGTCTGCCTTCCTTTTTTTCAGAAAGACCATGGATCAAAATTATATTTTCCTATGAGTGTATTATCTTTTAATGGGTTTTGAATAAATGCTTTGTTTCTGATCTTTTTGTATAATTATTCTGTTATACAGGCCTCAGTAAAATCAAAGAAAGCTACAGAAACCTATAAACTCTATGTGGAAAAATATGCTGCAGCCAAATCTGATTTTGAACAGAAAATGACAGAAACTGCACAGGTAATTGTTATGCTAAAACATCTTCAGTATATTTGCATGCATTCGACTTTGACTCTAGATCTCTTCAAAGGGACAGAAATGGTGAAAAGTAATTCTACGCAGAATTATTTAAAGTAGATCTTCAGGAAGGTAATTGAGATTGCACATTTTGAAAGTAATAAGGTACAAGACAAATGCTGAATGCCTGCCGTCACTGAAGCAATGACCAGGTCTCCTTATAAGCATTTAAATTCTTGGAAATGTTTTTGAGGAGGTTATTAAAAAGGAAAAAGTTATCCTCTGGGTAAAGACTTAGGGTAAAACTTAATAATCCTGATCCAAAAGTAGATGCTTTTAGAGAATAATTAAAACTTTTATCTTTCGTAGAAGGAATAGAAGAGTTAAGGTGACTGGATTTTAGGGGCAGGTGAGAGAGTGGTTAGTGTGGAATAGTGATTATGTAGAAGAGAAACATTTGCATAAAGGGGGAAAAAATTGGTCATTAGTCTTGGTTTTGGGAAGACAAAAATAATACAAGCTTTCTTCTCCCAAGCTTATGCAAACAGCTACTCCATTTTAATAGTTTTAGTTTTTAGTACATCGCATTATAGGAAAAAGTAAGGAGCAAGAATGTAAAGCTCTATAGTACAAAATTAACAATTTAGTGCTCAACCCTGGCCTGCAGGCAAGATTCCCTCCCCCCTCCAGCTTCAGGTTATCTAGCACTCAGGGCTCCCCATGGGTCTGGAAATCTGGTGGCAGGAGAGCAGTGGCACTGCTTCCCTACTGCCAAGTTACCAGGCTCATAGGGAGCCCTGTGCACTGGATCAGATACCTAATCCTGGCACATAGGGCCAGGCAGGGGTGATGTTGGGCCACAGAGCCTAATCCCAACAGTCAAGGGTGGTTCCAGGCCCCAGGGTCTGATCCCAGCATGAGGGCCAACTGAGGCCCTGCAGAGCTCAATCTGGCACCACTTGTCTGGGCCATGGGGCCAAAGGCTTGTGTACCACTGGTTCAGACTAACAGTACTTTGCCTCATATTTGCTTACTATAATGAATACGTAGCCAAAAATATTGTGACACTTCAGCTGTCAAAGTCTTGCCTTCTGAGTTCTGCAGCACCAGCCCAGCCCCTCAGATATAATCCATCATGAACCATGAGATAGAGAATAAAAACATCCAGTTACAAAGAACCTCCTTTGAGTCATTGTGGGTGTTATAGACCAGGGGTTGACAACCTACAGCCCACTGGCCCATAAAGAAACAGGATCTGGTTTGCAAAGGTCTCTCTGATCCTGCTTCGGGCAGGGGGTTGGACTAGATGACATCTGGAGGTCCTTTCTGCTTCTGTATGATTCTATGGTTTGACCTGCAGCAGAGTCCCCTGCAGCTGGTGGGGCAGCTAGGGGTTGTAGTACAATAGGCATCGGGGTCGTAGTACAATAGGCCTAGTCTACCCATCAGCCTCATGCCTTCTTCCTCTTCCTCCCTCTTGCTCCCACCCCCTTCCTGCCTCCATGAGAGATGCTGCTTCTTTTCGCGACATATCAATGTGACTAGCCGCCAGAGCCTTAATGCAGCTCCCCTACTGTGGCCTTTGCCTTTTTCAAAGCCAAATTTACTGTTGCCAGTTGTCATTGGTAACAGGAACCAGCTGCACCTACACTTAGCAACTGTTGTGTGGCAGCAGCTATAGGGGGCCACCAGAGGGTCCCTACGCCAGTCATCTCCTTCCTTATTAATGCTGTGCTGATGCTTCCACCTGCAGCAGCAGTATTCCTCATGGTGGTGGAAGGAGGAGCAAAGTGGTGGGGATGGTAATTGGACTTGAGCTATGCCTCTGTCAGTGATATGCCAGGAGGGATTGCCCAGCAAAAGAGGATTGGCAGCTGGGTTGCAAGTGGCTATCTGCTGCTGTTAAAAGGCTGACTGCTGTATAGACCTTTCTGAAAAGAAAGTTCTTTGTTAAATTGAAAATTTAATGAAGAGGTTACAAATGTTCCATTTTTCTCTGGTGACGGGAAGAAATCAGAATCATGTAAGGTATCTAGACTGAAGTTTCAGAACAAAAAATGCATGAAGTCATTAGGTGTTAAAAGTTCTCTTTCCTGTCAAGAGATTTTTTTTTTTTTGCTAAAATCCATTTAATAAAAGTGCAAGTTCTGCATAAGCAACAAAAGCATATTTAGAGAAACACTTGAAACAGGGTTATCATCCAGTATATCTAGAATAAAAAATTCTGAAAACAAATTCCAAAGTCTTTTTAACTCTGTATTGGGTGAAATGCGGTCTGTCCAAGTTTATTAGAGATCGTAACAGTTTGTTTCATCAGCCCAGCACTTTTCCTTAGAACATGTTCAGAGTTCCTGTTGCTATAGCTTTCAGAGGAGATATGAGCATCTGTCTGAATAACATCAGACAAGAGATTTCTTACAAAGGAAAATACGAATGTAAATGAAGACATTTTGAAGCATTTGTTTTTGGTTTTGTTTGATTTCCGTGCAAGTTAAGCATCTTCCCATAATTAATGTGGGTAAAGTTTTGGCTTTCCATCTTCAGTTTTGCCAGCAAAACTGTGACTATGTCTATACTTGCAGCTCCTCTGTGGTGGCAGGACCCTTGCTTTCTGCTGACAGATCAGTGCTTGTCTTGTGAGCCACAGAAGGCTTTGAGGTTGTTTTAGGAAACAATCAGAAAGCTTGTGCAGGCATGTTTGCTTTCTGCCAACAGCCAGGGCCCTTTAGCAGCAGGTGCCTCCCAGATGCAATTCACATCCTGCTAGCACAACTCTTGTAGTGGTGCTGCGTGAGTGAGAATGTGCTCTGGCATCTTCCCTCTGGCCCAGCTAAGCAGACTTTCTTTTTTTGTTACTATTTCATAGATTTCATAGACATTAGGGCTGGAAGGGACCTCGGAAGATCATCGAGTCCAGCCCCCCGCCCAAAGGGCAGGAAGTCAGCCGGGTTCATAGGATCCCAGCAAGATGAGCATCCAGTTTGCTCTTGAAGGTGTTCAATGTGGGCGCTTGAACCACCTCCGGTGGCAGGCTGTTCCAGACCTTGGGGGCTCGGACAGTAAAGAAATTCTTCCTTATGTCCAGCCTGAAACAGTCTTGTAGTAGTTTATGACCATTCGACCTAGTCATCATCCCTTGGGGCGCTCTGGTGAACAAACGTTCCCCCAGATACTGGTGGTCACCCCTGATAAACTTATAGGTGGCCATCAGATCACCCCTGAGCCTGCGCTTTTCCAGGCTAAAGAGCCCCAGGGCTCTCAGCCTGTCATCATAGGGTCTGCTTCCCTGACCTCTGATCATGCGCGTGGCTCTTCTCTGGACTCTCAAGCTTCTCCACATCCT